GTAGTCAGACGCGTCACAGAACTAGACATAACAATAATGGTGCAGGAGACTCACACCACCACCACCACTACCACCACCACCACCACTACCACCACCACCACCACCACCACCACCACCACCACCACCACCACGTCCGCCCCAACCACTGTCGCGTGGTCTACCACCGCGGTCATCATCAAACCCTCGTCCTCCCCGTCCTCTGCCCCTGCCACGCCCTCTGCCGCCACCGCGTGCCTCACGTTCATTCTCGCGGATGTTGTCGAGACGTGCCCGTCTGTCCCTCTCATCTAACGCGCGTGTGTCCCCCATCCTGGCCTGGCGCATCTCCGCCTTCTTTTCCTCTACGAAGGATTGTGGTACACCGGCAGGCGACTCTTGAGCTTCAATGAGGAGTTTCCAAAGAGAAGACATGAATTCGACGGTGTGGTTGGTGAGAAATCCTGTCAGGTTGATCTGCATCCTCCTGGGATCTGGTGTCTGCACGTCTCTCGGTAAGCTAGCCACACAGATGGTCAACGGTATGGCACGCACAGGTTGACTGTTATCTTCCAGAAGACCCATCGCGTATTCGACGACTACCTCGTCCTCGAAGCCCACCAATTCAACGATCTTCTTAACAACCCATGGGCGGATGACTGATAAGTTGACCTTGCGCATATCGACCTATACGACCGCAGGTGTCAGCGGATTCAAGAAGTCTCCAGGACTATAACGAGCCAACCTTCTTCTCAAATTCAGGGGGAAACTTCATCGACTTGAGAAGCTTCAGTTCCTTGTCAGAAAACCTGCGGTCCTGGTCTGCGGATGTTCCCTTGAAGAAGCCTGGATGTGCATTGTTCACGACAATGAAAGATCTGCATTGAATGCAAATACTCACCAGCATCTGCCATCGTCGTAGATTTCTACAGTGACAGTGAAGTTGAAGGTGGCGAACTGCCAATGACGGTGTCGCTGGAGAGGAATTCTGACGAGGATTTGCGCTCTAAGACCCGATAACCTAGAGCATGTGATACCCGACTCGGAAACTAACTAAAATATGTGTCAAGAACATCGCATAATCCTCAATATTTCACCCTTCGTTCCGTCCACAACGTTATGTAACGGTCTATCCTCTTGTATATGTACCATGCTCAACCCATCCAAGAATGAGAAAGGAGGAACACATATGAAGGGTGCTTCCCGCTCAGACTATGGTCATTAGTCATTCACGGAAAGAGGCCAAGAAGACATGTACATTGCAGTGAGTGAGTGTCACTGCACAAAAGACTTCAACGGTGCAGTGATCCTAAAAGCAGTAACATCAGAATGAACTGTGCATGCGACGAAACAAAAGTGCACGCAACGAGACAGAAACTTGCCTTCTCACTGAACGGGAAGGACACATACATGCATGTAACTTCTCCGGAGATTCAATTTGAGGGAAGCACTCCCCGTCTTCAAGTGGTAGGTCAGTGACCTTATCGTCGATGATGCACGTTGTTCATTGACTCTTCATATCATAGTGTCGGCCCTTGAATTGACTGTATAGGACCAGGTTCTAGACGTGACGCACGGTGCTGATTTGACGGTGTTCGGCCCCGCGAAGGAGGGCGCCCTTTCATCCCCGTTGCTGAAGCCGAATTCACAGAATGAACTGGACTCAGTCCTCCGTGTTATCTGACGTCGTTCGGCTGGACAAGGACCTGGCCAGAGCGCCGGCGTCGACACCAGCGTTTTTCTCATCGAGCCTTTGGATGGGTATATGCGCGCAGATATCACGCGGGAGGGCAAATGGCAGACAATTGCTACCTGATGCATCGCATTGCATAGAACACAGGAACGAACAAGACGCAAAGAGCGATGTGATCACCTTTTCGGCGGATTTTAGCATGCAGATGGCTACGGCGTCAGAGTTGCCAAAGCACCTGGTCTTATCAGGCACGCGCAAGAGTGCAGCCTGTCTCAACAACGATGATGACTTCCTCCCAGTCCCTACAGAGCAACACCCTTACTTCAATGCTCTCCGCAACTTTCCGCCCTCCGCTCTCTCTGCCTCCTCTCCGCTTGCCGTGCGTTTTTCTCCTCTTCGTCTCGATCAGCACCCTTACCTCTCGTCCTGCGCACAGACTCAGGCGAAGAGAATTACTCCGTTAGCGGTCGTGGAGTAGAATGTCGCGCACAATCAGCGTGCACCGCCCAGCGAACGTGCAGCGCCCCGCGAGTGGCGCTCGCCTCGTCATGGACACGAATGCGTCGGCCCTGCCATCCAGGCGCAGTCACCCTCCCCCTTCCAGCCCCGGCGCAGAGCTCGAGACGCCCAAAGTCCCTGTCTACTATGTCAGCGGGGTCCAGGACAAAGACAAGGGGCTCGTCGCCATTCAGCCCCTTCCGAGAGGCACTGTCTTCCTCGAAGAGCGCCCGTTGTTCACGCAGGACCCGGGATGCACGAACTCGAACGTCCTATCTGCCCTCGCGGGCTGCACGCGCGACGAGCAGCGCGAGTACTTCACGCTATCCAACGCGTACAAGAGCGGCGGGAAGGTCCTCCCTGCGCTCGCGATCTTCCAGACCAACTCTTTTGCGTGTGACGACTCCCCGCAGACGGCCCCTTCGAAGCAACGACGCGGCATCTTCCTCACCGCCTCGCGTATCAACCACTCGTGCACGCCCAACGTCGGACGCATATGGGACTCCGGCCAACAAGCGCTTGTCTTCCGCACCCTGCATCCCGTGCAGGCGGGCGAGGAGCTCTGCATGAACTACGTGGATGTGCTCGGGACACGGGAAGAACGCAATGCGCACTTGGCAGACTACTTTGGGTTCCAATGCGCATGCGCGGTTTGCGCGTTGCTGGGCGAGGAGCTCGCGCAGAGCGATCAGCGGAGGGCGACTGTACGGCGACTGTATGACGAGGTCAGCATGTGCTTGAAGGAGCCTACACTGGGCATACGGAAGGTCAGCTCATCACCATGCGCGACTTGGATGTTGGCTCATTATATGCCGGTTCGTGTAGGCAAAATTGGCGCTCCGGCTTCTTCAAGAAGAGAGGCTTGCGCTGTACGAAGCAACGTTTTGCTTCGATGCCTTCCAGCTATGCGTCCTGGTAAGTATGACGTCAGGTCTGTTGCACCATCCCGTCTCGTTCATACGTGTATGCGTCATAGGTCTCAGACTTTGGTAACGCGAAGGCTTGGGCGCGAAAGGCATGGCATGCATCCTGCGCCTCTTCTGGGCTTGACGGTCCCGCCGCGCGAACATTCAAGATGTACTGGGCCAACCCGGGAGCCCATCGTCTTGCCGGGACACTGCCACGTATGGTGTTGAGCGGGCCCGATTAGCTCCAGAACGCTCGGACCAATGTACGATCTCCTCTTCTTCCTCATGAATAATGCTAATGCCCTTGCACAGAATCGTTTCGTTTATCTTTCCTTGGGTCTCACCGGGTCGATGTCAAGCTGCGTGGTGTCCGTAACTTGGCTAGTGTCGAGAAGGTCGTGAACACGGCCGCGATGTAGTGAACGAAGCACTCGCTCGTCCTCGAAGCCCGCCAGGAGCGACGCAACTCGCTGGTGAAGGATACATACCAGCAAATGGTGAACACCCTATGTGTTCGCTGTCCACCGGGCTGAGACGCCGCACCGCACGGGCAGAAGTGCTACCGGCGATCACCTGGTGCATCCGGAAGTACGGTTACGAGGTGCGCCAATCGCATCAATTGAGATTGCTCTACATGCCCTGGCTGTACTGCAAGTACTGACACGCTACCTCGACCGCTTCCCAACTGCTCGTCTTCACCACTCGGCTCCCGCGAGTTATGCTCAGGAGCGCACGTCCTTGGCGGCATGCAGAGATGCGCGAGTTTCTGGCTCCCTGTACGAAACACAGACGTGCCGAGTCTCGGTTCATATTGACCTGTACAAACACGACGTCAGCTCCAGACCGTCACGACCGTACAATGTGAGACTTGCCTTTGCACCTGGACGTTTTGACGACCCGTCCGACGATGCGTATTGCGACGAAGAACAGTGACCGGGCGGTGGGGGACTTACGTCGCATGGGTCGTCCTACACAATCATCCGACTGGTTTTCAGCAATGAAGGCCACTGTTCCTCGTACCGTACTGTACGTATCTGCCTCTCATCGTTTACGCCTAGTTCGCCGTTAGCATCACATACCGCAATACATGATCGAGTACTCACCTGTTCAGGCAATGATAGCCGTGAGTTTCGTACAGAATGAGTCTACAACTGTTCAAGTCCACAAGGCATTGCCCTGTTGCTACCGCGTTCAGCTGGGCGCGGTCTAGTCCGCAGCCCTGTCGACCGTCATCTCGGCTGCGCATATCATCGCGTCCGCCTCGCAAGACATGGGATACACGCGAGTGGAGCCTCCAAGGCTTCACGCTGACCGTCCACCCACCTATCATGACAGCCCCTGGACGGTGTAGTAGTGGCACATCACCCGAAATACATTGACTTACCAGACCTCATCGCAGTGTGCCCATCGCCCCACCCGGCCCATCGCGTCGACATCCAGCAGACACACACGTTCCACCGCCGCCACTGTCGCTCGGTTGTCGGGTCGTACAGTACTGAACAGTGTCGACATAACGCACGGGTCCTACCGGATCGAGGCTTGAGTCCAGGGTTCAAACGTTCACGATGTACCCGCCCTGTCCCGTACGGTGGTGTAAGCGGTCGGACATTGGCAGTATGCCATGTCGATGAAGGACTCCGGTACGTCGAAATCGACGGACTCGTCGGTGTCTGGCGGCGGCGGACGGCACCGTACGCGACGGAGGTGCATGGCACTCAGGACCTCGTTCCGGGTGGTCACGGTGACGTGGGCGTGTATCGCATGGCTCGACTCTCGGTGGACCCAGCGGCGGTGCCTGCAGGGAGCGGCGCAGCTGGGTAGCGGATGAGCTGCGTTGGGCGGGTCGAGAAAGGTGGATGGCGGGCGGTCGCGCGATGCGGATGTCAGCGAGTGAAAGGCCGATGACAAGGCTTCACTTGCCCTTGCGAAACGCACATGCTCGTCAGCTATTGAGGACAGCATGGTGGGCTGAGTGGGTTCAAGTGGGGTGGGAGGTACGCGACCACGTTCGGTTGGTCGCGGTTGGAAGATTCCCGACGGTGGCTGTCCCGGGCGTTGGCTGGCTCTCACTCGCTGTCTTGCACCCAGCGGGCTTCGCCGCCGCACGCGCTCACTGCCTTCTTCGTCTGTTATTTTCTCGCCTTCTTTCTTGTTTGCTGCACACCCGTCTCTCCCGCCTCGCCCTTGCTGTCGGCCACGTCGCGGTCGTCTCTGTCACGTTGCGACTGTTGGGCCGGTTTCTGCTCACTCATCCACCGAGCCCTCTCTGCTCTTACCGCCAGTGTGCTCGACTCGACTGACCAGCGTCCACAAGTCTCGCATTCGTCAAGCCCGTCTCGGCTCGGGATGCTCCGGTGTCCACCATCACGCCGATCCAGACTCTCCCGCATGTCCGTCCCGCTGTGTACAGCCTTCCCGAGTTCCTGTACACGAAGTTGGGCCCAGGCTTGATCGACAGGGCCCCGTTCGCGTGCATACTGGTTGAGGGGCCTTCGTACGACACGCCTCGGAATCCGGCATCGACGCAAGAACACCGGCAGGCCGCCGCAGGCGTCCTCAACACCACGGGCAACCAATTGCGGCAAACGACTGCACGGCCGTGTTGCTGCCTCGTGTGCATTGCGGCTGGCGAGGTACACAGCGTGGAGTGCAACGCGACACGAATAGAGTGGATGTCAGCGAGTGTTATGACAGCAAAGACAAGCGGGTACGTACGCTGCAGCTACTGCTTGGACGCTGACAGGCAATTTGCGCCGGATCGCTAACAGCAACTCGAGCGCGCAGACCCACTGCCTCAGGCGTGAGACGGAGCCAGGGTGCACGATTACCGTCACTTCTTGATGAGCACAGGTAGATACTACAAGGTGCGTATGGTCAGCTAGGGTTGTGTACCGAGAAACAGACACATACTGATTCTACTACATAGAGTGTCTCGCGTCGGTTGTGCCGACGACGTACCAGATGACCTGAGCGTGCCCGCCTCGGGGTGCAAGTCAGCAGCAGGCAAAAACACGCGCCGAGACATGAACGCACGTACCTTGCGTGTATGACCGGGAAGACGAACGCAACGACTCGTGACCAGGGCCCCGTTCGAATACAGCGCGGTACACGACAGACGGGGCCTATCCGAATGTGTTAGGACTGAAAATGACGCATCGGCGGTGCGGACAGACGACGGGGACAATGAAAGCATACCTGGCAGTAAACAGATAATGGGAGGCGAAGGTAAAGACACCCCCGTCATAGCCCGCTGGCAACCCTACTCGTCTATCACGCTGTCAGTCAGTCCAACACTCCCGCATCACTGCGCCTATGACAAGCAGTCGCCGGACAAGTTGAAGCGAATCGCGGCGATGTAGGACAGGAGAAAGTTAAGTACACAGCCATTTGCGACGCGAAGAGGATGGCTCACCATTCGAGGAAAGGCACACAATGAGATACATAATCAGATATGACGAAACGAAAGTGTTTGATGTGAGGCTGAGATGGGGGGGACATCAACTGAAGATACATCCAGTGAGTGGCCTGTCGGCGTAAGTCGTGTGACGGTCGGCTCGGGAAAAGATAGCGCCATAGGTTGTTCGCCCTGTGTGGTCGTCCGGCAGAAGAGAAGGGGGGAGCTGTAGGCAGAACACGCCATTAGATCAATGTATACGCAGTGTTACGCACTTACAGACAACACACAATGCAACGACGAGGTCTGGCATTGTTGGTATTGAACATCGCCCCGGCGGTGTATTGGTACATACCGTACCTTGTGACTTGTGCCGACAACCCACGGTAAGCACCACAATGTATGTAGGTACAAATGGAGCCGCGGCGAATGCGTTGCCAACGTAGAGCCAACGCAGCCCCCTGGACTGGGTGCCACAACTGGGAAGTGGCGAATTAATGTCCACCGCGCGATGCCATCTCGCAGGTTGACGAAACTGACTCAGTCTAGTTCCGCCAACAAGCAACTTCCGCGATTGGCGGGGCATGCCAGGTCATAACTCGAAGCATGGACTATTCTCAGACGGCTTGACATGCAGCCCCTCAGTGCCTAGCCACTCAGACTACCCGAACCAACATCTCGCGACTATGTGGCGTCGACCACGCCGTGGCCATGCCTACGAAATTAAACGAGGCACGCAGACGACTCGAAGCGGAACTATCCTGGAGCACGCGCGCGAGTACTGCGTTCTGGAGATACCGGCCCGAGACGTCACGGCCGTAGCTTGCAACCAAAGTGGTGCACCGGCAGCGAAGACTAGCAGGCCTCTGCAGGTGTTCTCTGCGTAATCGGCACGCCGGAAACACGGCTCTGGGCCCTTGCACGAGCCACGCAAACCTGACGAGACGAGACGAGACGACGGGCCCATCCGGGCCTGAGCGGGCAGCCCAGAGTATGTACTGTTAAACAAGTCACTGGCAGCCGCACCGGACGCGACGTGAGTCGAATCTGCCAGTGACGGACGAGCTAAGAATAAGCATGCGAAAAACGGGTACCGTGCATACCGAGTTTGTTCTGTGAGTCACATTTGCGACTGGCAAGGCATGGCATGAATCTGTGAATAAGATCGATGGGTCACCTTCGACCATGCCAGACTCCTGCGTCGGAATGTCCCGGCCCTGGATGAGCATCGCAGACGCAGTTACCCGTTCCCCAGGTTCAATGGAGACGGGAGGCAACGGCCGTTCATCGCTCCAGTGCGAGATTCGATGCTCCGGCGTCATGCATCGGGAGACTCGTACAGGCCGCTCTGACACGGACAACGGCCGACATGAGTACTAGTGTACTTGATAAGCAATGAACGGCAGGCTTACCCGTAGCACGCTACACGTGGTCAAATTCTCAGATAGAACCAGTTCTCGACTCGGCGCTGTCTCAGCCCGGGGAGTCAATAGCTAGATCAGTGTAGTACTGGTCAGAACAATGCGAATGGGATGAAATCGAATACCTCACCTCTTGTACCAGATAAGTACTGTTGTAGATGGTTCAATACCGAAGTCGTAACTAGAAGTTGTGTGACTGAACATACCGGCGGTGCAGCACTTGAAGTACGAGTCATGCTGGTGTGCGTGAACATTGCTCAATTCACTTCGGCCGTCGAGACGAAAACGCGGAGTAATGAAGCTGGCGGAAGTTAAAGGGCGGAGTACAATAGGATGTAAGCAGATGAAGTACAGAAGATGGATGGTACGAAGGTAAAAGGCGGGCAGAGGACGAATGGCCCAGGGCGAGCAGGACCGGCTTTTATAGCTCGTACCTTCCACGGGGTGGTCTGTGCGTCGTCAGCATGCTGCGTGGGAGTCGTACCATTCCTCGGTGCAACCCCAAAGCGGTCTCTCTTACGCGGTACCCGCCGTTCCCTGGCGTCGCTTGCAAACTCCGGACTAGTGCACCCGCTATTTCCTCCTCCCTAGCGAGTTTCCAGTCGTCGGAAGGCAACGCGCACGTTCTGATTGATGCATCACGTATGAGCGCTCCGTTAGGCGCCGTCCGGAAGTCTCACGCGAGCGAAGACGTGGGCAGGCTGTTCGTACTGGGAGTACCTTCTGAATTAAAGCCGAATGTATTCGCATCTTGTGGGTGAGCGTCGGTCGCATATGATGCATTGTATGCACCACTAATAATTTATACCAACATCCAGAGTCCGACGTTGAGGGTAGCCAGGCGGGAGAGGTAGGCACGACGCCAGGAGCAGCAGAGAGGATGATTGCGCACAGAGGAAGGGAATAAGCGCTCGTGCAGAGTGGTTGAGAGCCTCGTGTTCTGAGATCAGATCGAGCGATCTCGCGCCGTTCTGGACGGCGCGCGACTTCTCTCGCGCATTGTCTCCCCACCACTGGCGATGTACTACATGGCTCGTCCAGACGTCTTTGGACGGCTTTCTCGCAGGTACTGCTCACGTGTTTCCTGGACTTGCAGACATGTAACCGCAGTGTCGGGATGCAAGTTGCTCCTGTTCGCCAGCCAAGGAGCACTTCAGTAGTACGAGGTACCGTGAGCCTTTGCTTGGGCGGCGAGGTACGTGCACGGGCCCGCCGAATGGAATGATGACGTGGTGTTCTGACCGGATTCCATTTCAGGCCAAAGCCGGTATATGATCGTGGAGAGCTTGGCCCGCCGCGCCAAAGCGACACGCGCGCTCGCCGGACTCAGGCCTCGCCGGAAGCCACACTACTTCCACGAAGTCTGATTCCATGCATGGGATTAGCAGCCGCAGAAATCAATCACCTAACATGTACATAGCAGTAGCTACAGAATAGAATATCTAGGTTCTTGAGAAAGGTATCCTAGGACATGATCTGCTCAAGGGTACCAGCCAATACTGGACAATTCAGAATTGGCTGGCAGCCTTGGGCAGACAAATGTCCCTGCAATGTGAGGCTGGCGCTCGGGAGTATCACCGATCATCAAGGGATAAATTTGATTGACGACATCAGCTTCCAGAGCAGCATTGTCCTGAAGCAGACAATCAGGTCATGATCTCGCAAATATTTCCCTTTATTGTCTGTACTGACAGCTTGAACATTTGAGTTACTGAGCTATTGAGGATCCCTGACGCCTAACTGAGCAGTACAGAATTGATTTGAGAGTGAGGATATACTGCAGTAACAAGCCTGAGTGAGCTAAGAATCATACCATACAGGGTCTGAAACACTTGGCAGTGGCTACTTAGCCGCCATCAGCCGCCCACACTCAAGGTGGTCTTGACCGCCACTGTCTAAATTGGGTGAACAATGGGCAGCCGGACGAGGCCAAAGCAAGCCCACCTGCGGAGTTCAGTGGCTAATTCCAGTATATATACAGGGCTAAGTCAGTCCTCCCCTCACGGAGCAGAAGCTATGCCAGGTCACGGTAAGTACCATGGCTGATATACTCCATAGCTTACGTATATCATCGTGATGATAACGGACCAGGTGAGGTTTCCCGGCCACCCTCGTCCTCGAGCCACACTCACGAACATGCTGGTTTGAAAGCAATCACCCAGAGCAAGCCCACATATCCACGCACGCAATGTGTTCCTCATTAGACAGCAGCGGGCGAGGCTCACGGTATGTCGCCCATCGAGCTTTCGCCACCGACCCTGTACTTACCTCTTGTCCGGACAGGACAGCTAGAAACTACTAGGCTACGTACAAGGCCCACCGCCGACAAGTTAACTCTATGACCCATCCCGACCGACGGAATGACGTAGAGGCTCTTCGTCGTCCAGCTGCCGGGGCATGACAGCAAACCCATGCATACTACCGTCCTAATAGTCTCAAGCCTCCACCGTTGGCAGCTGTCGTACGCGCCCGCCCGGTCTGCACGTGTGCCGCACGGCGGTCCCGGAAGCCGACAAGATTGTCTGCGCGCGGGCGTAGGCGGACACCCATCCCCTACAGAGATGGCCTGTCTGCAGGTCTACACCCGCGCCCGCCGGCTCTCTTCCTCATCCCGGTCACACACCTCCGCGCCCGTCACGCAAGCACTCATCCATTGTGTCCTCCCGCCTCAGTAACATCGCTCACACGCAACGCACCTGGCTGGTCGCGTATGAGGGGGGCAACGTCTGCGGTCGTCCGCCAGACGTGTCGTTGCATACCGAATGGCGTCAGAAGGAACTTGGTCAGTCAACCTACCTTGTCTGTGCACGAGGACCCTCGCCTTGACGCACATGCCGCTGCTCCGTTGCGGAACCCTCCTGGCGCACCACGCATTATGCACGGCTGCACCGTGTCATGCCCGCCGTCCGAGGCGTGACTGTTCCGTCCCCTAGTACCCTCTCGGACGTGCCGTCGGCAGCCCGTCGCCAAATCCGCCGTCCAGATGCCGATGACACGACATATCGTCACCCGGTGAATTGGTTGTGGCGTCCCCCCTGCTGGTGCTGCATCGACGACACGTCGGCACTGGTCCTTTGTGGATCTCCTGCATGCCGCCTTCCCCGCGTCTCCTTGGAATCCTCTGGCCCAACTGGCAGCCCCTAGCTTCGAACACACGACATATCGTCGTCCGGCGAACCAGGCCCAGCGCGCCCCTGTTCGCCGGTCCCGTTGCCGCCTACCGACGTCTCGTGTTCGCCTGTCGCTCACGTCAAGGCGGGCACCGTTGCGGGTCCGCACAAGGGTCGAGTCTGGTGCCAGCGCCCTGGGGCCGTGCAGCGACGCGCTGTGTCACAACTGCAAACGATCGCAGTCAGTCGACCTACCTTTGTGCTAGCATCGCGCCATGACATGAACGTTCTCACAGCTGCCTTCGATGCTGTCTTCACCATGGGTTTCCCGAACCATCATCGCTCGCCGCCACCCGGTCGATGTCGACACGACGTATGGCCGTCCGGCGAACCGAGGCTGACGGTCCTGGCGTGGCCGAACCGTGCTCAGCAAGGCAACGTCTGCCGCACATGACGCGTCTCGTCGTGGCGAGCACGTCGTCGCCGGGATACTGCCGTCTGCAGCCCTAGTGTCCCATGCACTGCACTGCGACCTTCGAAGACACGACACATCGTCGTCCGGCCAATCGACCTCCGACAACTGACCTGTGTCCACGCGCAGCCGTCTCCAGTGTTCACGGCCATCTCGTCTCGTCAGTCGTCGTCGCTCGGCTTGAACAGGCCCTCTGCCAACTCGCTAACGGCAACCTCAGGCGGCGCGTATTCTCCTCTCGCAATCCCCGTGTTGTTCACGAGTAGATCCAGCTGAATACCACCTTCCCTGACTGCCATCAAGACCGACTCCGCGCGTCTGTCATCTCCAGCGGGCCCGGTTCGACGAAGACACGAGATATCGAATTCCGGTGAGCGGGGTCGTGGGAGCGGAGTAGCGTGGTGGGCTGTCACTGCGGAGAGACGACGCGTCGCACTCCGGCGAGCGGGAGGGAAGACGGGTGGTAGCTCGGGGGTTTGATGACGAACCGGGCGCTGTGGATGATCCCACCGCTGGGGGCGCGTTTCGATGAGTAGGACGGCGAGGCTCGAGGTAGCCGGGTAGCTGACGACGAGCAGGGCACTGGAGAGGAGGTACTGCTGTCCGGGTGAGTACAGAGCATTTCAGATTTACGCATTACGTTACTCACGTTGAACTGTAGTTGTGTTCCTCATCAGCTGCTGAATTGACGTGCTGGCAGCAACGCGTGGCTGACGAAGACTCGTCTGCCGCGTTATCAAGTGGGCGGCTGCTGTGTGCGTGTGCATGACGGACGGAGACGACCGGGACGGCGGGAGGTTCGTGGGCGGAGAGATGGGATATGAGTAGCGCGGTACGCGCTAGAAGTGACGAGGTGAGTCGGTACACGAGACTTGAAAGACGTGTTGCTGACGAGAAGTCGTCTGCCGCGTTGTCAACTGGCAGATCGCGCGAACGTGGCCAGGCCATGGGGCGCGTCACGGTATTGCGTCGACATGGACTGCGTGTCGAGTCGGTAGAGGTGCGTGCCCTGTGCGCCGTGTATACTGAGGACAGGGAGTCGTTTTGCCCACCCGAGTGTCCCCGCGGGGAGGCGGACGTATGGTCGTGCATAAAGAAAGAGAGACGGACGATCGAAAGAAGGCAACTTTTTTCGACCCTCCAGCCAATCAGCGTCCAAGGAGGGGCGAGTGACGCAGCCGCCGCGCGCGATCGGCCAATCGGAGGGCGCGATCGAGCGCCCGTTGCAAAACACGACCGACGCGTTGTCGTGCGAGATGGAGGCAGCAGGCACCGGGTGAGTGCTGCTGGCCAAGCCCAGCGTGTACAACGAGAACGACACACATGCATTCATGCAGCTTCTCCGGAGATTCAATTTGAGGGAAGCACTCCCCGTCTTCAAGTGGTAGGTCAGTGACCTTATCGTCGATGATGCACGTTGTTCATTGACTCTTCATATCATAGTGTCGGCCCTTGAATTGACTGTATAGGACCAGGTTCTAGACGTGACGCACGGTGCTGATTTGACGGTGTTCGGCCCCGCGAAGGAGGGCGCCCTTTCATCCCCGTTGCTGGAGCCGAATTCACAGAATGAACCGGACTCAGTCCTCCGTGTTATCTGACGTCGTTCGGCTGGACAAGGACCTGGCCAGAGCGCCGGCGTCGACACCAGCGTTTTTCTCATCGAGCCTTTGGATGGGTATCACGCGGGAGGGCAAATGGCAGACAATTGCTACCTGATGCATCGCATTGCATAGAACACAGGAACGAACAAGACGCAAAGAGCGATGTGATCACCTTTTCGGCGGATTTTAGCATGCAGATGGCTACGGCGTCAGAGTTGCCAAAGCACCTGGTCTTATCAGGCACGCGCAAGAGTGCAGCCTGTCTCAACAACGATGATGACTTCCTCCCAGTCCCTACAGAGCAACACCCTTACTCCAATGCTCTCCGCAACTTTCCGCCCTCCGCTCTCTCTGCCTCCTCTCCGCTTGCCGTGCGTTTTTCTCCTCTTCGTCTCGATCAGCACCCTTACCTCTCGTCCTGCGCACAGACTCAGGCGAAGAGAATTACTCCGTTAGCGGTCGTGGAGTAGAATGTCGCGCACAATCAGCGTGCACCGCCCAGCGAACGTGCAGCGCCCCGCGAGTGGCGCTCGCCTCGTCATGGACACGAATGCGTCGGCCCTGCCATCCAGGCGCAGTCACCCTCCCCCTTCCAGCCCCGGCGCAGAGCTCGAGACGCCCAAAGTCCCTGTCTACTACGTCAGCGGGGTCCAGGACAAAGACAAGGGGCTCGTCGCCATTCAGCCCCTTCCGAGAGGCACTGTCTTCCTCGAAGAGCGCCCGTTGTTCACGCAGGACCCGGGATGCACGAACTCGAACGTCCTATCTGCCCTCGCGGGCTGCACGCGCGACGAGCAGCGCGAGTACTTCACGCTATCCAACGCGTACAAGAGCGGCGGGAAGGTCCTCCCTGCGCTCGCGATCTTCCAGACCAACTCTTTTGCGTGTGACGACTCCCCGCAGACGGCCCCTTCGAAGCAACGACGCGGCATCTTCCTCACCGCCTCGCGTATCAACCACTCGTGCACGCCCAACGTCGGACGCATATGGGACTCCGGCCAACAAGCGCTTGTCTTCCGCACCCTGCATCCCGTGCAGGCGGGCGAGGAGCTCTGCATGAACTACGTGGATGTGCTCGGGACACGGGAAGAACGCAATGCGCACTTGGCAGACTACTTTGGGTTCCAATGCGCATGCGCGGTTTGCGCGTTGCTGGGCGAGGAGCTCGCGCAGAGCGATCAGCGGAGGGCGACTGTACGGCGACTGTATGACGAGGTCAGCATGTGCTTGAAGGAGCCTACACTGGGCATACGGAAGGTCAGCTCATCACCATGCGCGACTTGGATGTTGGCTCATTATATGCCGGTTCGTGTAGGCAAATGGCGCTCCGGCTTCTTCAAGAGAGAGGCTTGCGCTGTACGAAGCAACGTTTTGCTTCGATGCCTTCCAGCTATGCGTCCTGGTAAGTATGACGTCAGGTCTGTTGCACCATCCCGTCTCGTTCATACGTGTATGCGTCATAGGTCTCAGACTTTGGTAACGCGAAGGCTTGGGCGCGAAAGGCATGGCATGCATCCTGCGCCTCTTCTGGGCTTGACGGTCCCGCCGCGCGAACATTCAAGATGTACTGGGCCAACCCGGGAGCCCATCGTCTTGCCGGGACACTGCCACGTATGGTGTTGAGCGGGCCCGATTAGCTCCAGAACGCTCGGACCAATGTACGATCTCCTCTTCTTCCTCATGAATAATGCTAATGCCCTTGCACAGAATCGTTTCGTTTATCTTTCCTTGGGTCTCACCGGGTCGATGTCAAGCTGCGTGGCGTCCGTAACTTGGCCAGTGCGTCGTGCGTGCAGAGGGGTTCCTGCTTGGCCTTCATTGTACAGCCTTACTAATACTGTAGCATCTCTGTCATAACCCGCCCTGCTCGGGCTTGTTGTGACCCTCCCGAATGGGTGAATACTCTGTCCACAGGCACTGTGCCTCGTATATTCGTTGTTTCTTGTGCTTTTCAGACGGGCTGACTAAGGGGTGGCTGAAGCGCCCTTTCCAAGCTCAGGTCGCCGAGGGTCGCCGGTGACTCAAGCTGCTAACTTAGTGATCGAGATGTACTGAGGGTACTCTATTAGGGTAAGTACTGCAACAGTCAAACGCAGTGCAACACGGATCACAGCACGAGCCTGGTGCACATGTCAGCATTGCGCACATTCGCAGATTTTGTCGTCCTATTCGCCATATTCCCAGTGCGATCGTCATCAGGCTAGTCTCGCGTAGTAGCTAGGTGCGTTCCAACTATGCTAGAAGATGTCTCTCTCCAGACTGACCTCAACTCTAGCTCCTACGACGTCGGAAATGCGCATGCAGTTAGTCTGGGTGTACGTCTGGTGTACGTAGGCCTGCGGGGCGCTTGCATTTAGACTTGCGCCTGCGAGTTATTCCTGGACGCTGAGCGTCTTGGCGATTCTCGACCACGGATCTACAGGCGCCCTCCAGTACGCCCATGGTCGGGCGCTACGGAGTCACGATGGCCTATTCGTCAGCGATCCTGGGCTTCCTGTAGCTCCGCACACGGGCGCGTGTCGTTTCACGGTTCTCCGAGAACGCAAGGTTCCATGATGGTGTTCTCGTCGCCAGACACGCCTTGGCTCCTAACCACCACGTTCGAGTCATTGATCTCCTGTCTATGACTCTGTGCCCCTGAAACACCCTCGTACTTATGCTCCGTGTGCCCGTTCAGACATTGACACGAACTGACGATCACCATGTCCACCACGGCGTCCTCCAGCGCGTCATCCGCAACGCAGACGGGCAATATCGGCGGCGCCTCGCAGCCCCCGAGCGGCCAGCTACCGTTCAGCTTTCTCATGACATTCATCGCCGTGTTCCTCTTCATCGTCGGGTGCGGCTTTGGGACGCGTCGGCTGTCGATCGAGCTGCGGCGCACAATAGGGCACGCGACGGGCCGGTGCAGCGCTCTACCTCCGACGCCAGAGCTGTGGGACATCGTTCCGCGGACATGCCACGAAGCCATGGGCAAGTTCTGCGAATTTCTGGTGAGCATCGGTGCGCGCTCGCTGCCAAGTCGGTCTTGTGAATACTGACCGTACTGTCCTCGAAGCCACTCTCCGTCTCATATGTCCGCGAGGAGAAATGTGACCCGTCGGAGCCGTCAACATCGCCAATACCGCAGATTCACTTCCCGGAGGTCCCGACGGGGCTGCGAATATTGGAATTCGTCCCCTTCGTGTCGCTATTCATCGCCTATCGTACGCTACGCCGGATGCGGGAGGTACAAGCCGCTGCGGCCGCCGGAACATTCAATCACTCTTCTACGGTGCCAGAGATTCCATCTCCACCGGTCCGCGCGGTGAAGGTCGCCGTGCTTGTAGCCATGCCTTCTCCACGCCGCCCAAATTACCGACATTCATACAACAGCAGCTACTCGAAAGATGCCGCGGACTACGCAATACCGTCACTGACGTACTCTTCACGCCCTACCGGGGTCGGCGAGGAGCGGCGGAAAAGCAGCCTGAGCACAGGCAAGGAGCGCGATAGCGGATACCCTGAGAGCGTGTCGGACGAGGACGCGGCGTCAAGGGAGCTCGTATTAGGCGTGGTACAGGTTCCATGGGACACGGGTGAGGTAGAACTCTCATGAGCACACGACATAGACATGATACCCGGACTCCATATACTGCTCGCGGGACGGTCACACGACAGCCCTATTGCTTATTCGTGTACTTGTAGCTTGGTGCTTGCTTGCTGGGAAGCCTCCTCTTCTGTTCAGTCGGTGTACTGCGTAGGACAAGATGCCGCTCAGCAAATCTAGCACGGGTAGTGGTGACGACCGGACGGCGGCTCGCCCATGGATAAGGTCAGTCATGAGCCTGCATCCGGGCTTCCTCTACCTGAATTATTGACGGATACTACGTACGTAGGCGGCTCGCTGACTCTGGATGGAGGTAAGTCTATCTTCGAATTATATAACGGCGTCTCATTCGCGCTGAGGTTCACATCGCAGAATGTCAGTTTGCGAGCTGCTCGGTTTCTACCGCTCTGTGCTAGTCTGCAGTGGCAGACTCTAAACGACCTCTGCACGGTCCGCGCGCGGAACGCTCAATGCTCGACATGATGTGAGCTTCAAAGCTTCAACGTCTTCGCCGCGCGATATTTGGCCCTTTGTTACCATTGGAGGGACGTTACACGCTTGACACCATACTCCGACTCACTTGTTAACCTCCTGCCCGATCACCGATGCTGTAACGCTCCGTCCGCGGACCGCTGACTGCATCGAGCAATCCCTTCCTACTGTCCGAGTCATCGGTACGACGACATTGAAGATCTCACCAGGGTCGCCTGCTGTCGCCCATGTTTCTGATCTTGATTCACTGCGAGACCCACCAGGAGACATATATGGGCTTGTGCACCGGTATCGGCGTTGATACCATAGTCTGGGACCGGGCTTTGGACAGCTCGACACGCTGCCGCTGACGTGTGGGGGCACGAGTGCGCTTGTAGGTCCATTCAGTCATTGGAACGGCACGAAGATTAAAGGCATTGTCTACGTCTGCTTGCCAGGGAGACTAGATCTGGACCGAGAATTATTCTACACTACTACTGACATACTGCATCTGCTACTACATATATACTTACTAGGCTGCTTATGCAGACTGAGACTCATCATGATGCAGGCGCCCGTCGACTATTCGGCGTCCATCGTTTCCTCGTAGCTGAGCTACCACCATGAGGGGCCAGGGAGATCAGGCACGAAATCGAGTAACGGGGTCACAATGACTCACCTCGTCCGATCCATGATGAGCGGTCTGGCTCACACTAACAGAGCAACCTACTAGTTGCACCCGAACCGCAGTGGTATCAGAAAATTTTGGATGTGTGGTTCAAGATGACAGTAGGATGCGCGGACAATTCCACCGGCTTCGGTGACCCAATATGTACCAATAGGCAGCGGGACATGCACTGGTACAAATGCAGATGCATCAGATAGAATATGCAGGGAGACCTACAGGACAGCTAGACAGCGAGGAATACAAATGTGACAGAAATACAACTCCATAG